GAGCCCAAGACGTTGAAATGCGGAACCGTTTCATGCAAATCTTCGACAAGAGTTTGACTCGCCTTGCGAGCTCGCGTCTCAGCTATGTTCTCACATGCCAGAACTGGGATACCCTTGCTGATTCCTTCTGGCTCGCCCAAGCGTCACATTTAGTGCTTGGATGTGTGGACATGACCACCACTGCCCGCTTGCACACCGAGGACTTCACTCTGTTCCCAGTGTCATTCCTCTTTGGCAGCGGCGATAAAGATCCCAGGAAGGCCGATATCATGGTTGACAACCAGCTGGAGACTTTCGTCGCAGAGCGGAGGCGATTCATGTCTGATATCGGCGATGTCAGAGTTCGCGATCTTATCGAGCCTTTATGTCAGCTTCAACACACCGATTCTAATGTTGCCTACCAGCTGTGGACTACCATCTTCCCTCTCTTCTGGTCCACACTGTCCAGCAAAGACTGCATTGATCTGGAGAAGGATATGGTCACATTGCTGACTCGTGAGTACCACCACAGACAGCTAGACAAGCGGCCCAACGTCGTACAAGCCCTCCTGGAGGGTACTGTACGTGCTAGTCCCCGTTTCAAAATTCCTCCTCATGTTGTCAAGTATCTCAGCCGCACCTACGACGCATGGTACACTGCTGCTACCTACCTTGAACAAACCGCCATTAATCCCATCATTGACACGCCCACTGTACGGGAAAGCAACCTCGATGCCCTTGTTGAGGTTTACGCAGGCCTCCAAGAGGACGACTTCTTCTACGGCACCTGGCGCCGTCGTTGCAAGTTTGTTGAAACTAATGCCGCTCTTTCGTATGAGCAACAAGGCATGTGGGACAAGTCTCAACAACTCTACGAGAACGCCCAAATCAAGGCCCGTTCCGGTGCCATGCCATTCTCGCAGGGTGAATACTTTGTCTGGGAGGATCATTGGCTGATCTGCGCCCAGAAGCTTCAGCAGTGGGAGATTTTGAGCGACTTCGCCAAGCATGAGAACCTAAATGATCTCTTGCTAGAGGCTGCTTGGAGGAACATCGAGAACTGGCAAAGTGAAGGTAACCGCGAGCAGCTTGAATCATTGATCAAGTCTGTATCCGACGCTCCAACTCCTAGACGCACCTTCTTCCAGGCCTTCATGGCTCTTCTCCAATACCACACGAAGAAGGACAATATCCAAGACTTCAACAGCGTTTGCGACGAGTCTATCCAGCTCTCCATTCGCAAGTGGCTTCAATTGCCGAAGCGCATCACCAATGCCCACATTCCCATCCTGCAGCATTTCCAACTCTTAGTTGAGCTGCATGATGCTAGCCACATCTGTAGCAGCTTGGCTCAGACAAATGAAAGAAATTTGGATACCAAGTCCGCCGAGCTCAAGCTGCTTCTCGGAACCTGGAGAGACCGTTTGCCCAATCTTTGGGATGACATCAACACATGGCAAGATCTCGTCACTTGGCGTCAACACATCTTCCAGCTCATCAACGGCACCTACCTCAGTCTCTTGCCCCCTCAGACGAATAATGTGGCCAGTAACTCTTACGCCTACCGCGGATACCATGAAACAGCCTGGATCATCAACCGATTCGCCCATGTAGCTCGAAAGCACCAGATGCCAGAGGTCTGCATCAACCAACTCAGCCGTATCTATACCCTTCCGAACATTGAAATTCAAGAAGCCTTCCTCAAGCTTCGGGAGCAAGCGAAGTGCCACTACCAGAATCCGAAGGAGCTGAACAGCGGGTTGGATGTAATCAACAACACTAACCTCAACTACTTCGGGCCGCAGCAGAAGGCGGAATTCTACACACTCAAGGGCATGTTCCTCGCCAAGCTTGATCATGTCAATGAGGCCAATGAGGCCTTTGGTGTTGCTCTTTACTATGATCTCCGCCTTGCTAAGGCTTGGTCTGAATGGGGACAATACAGTGATCAGCGCTTCAAGGCTGATCCGACTGACTACGAGCTGGCTAGCAATGCTGTTAGTTGCTACCTGGAAGCGGCTGGTCTTTACAAGAGTGCGAAATCCCGGAAACTACTCAGTAGAATTCTCTGGCTCCTGAGCCTGGACAACGACGAAGGAAAGATCGCAAGTGCGTTCGAAAACTTTAAGGGAGACACCCCGGTGTGGTACTGGATCACTTTCATCCCTCAGCTTCTTACCAGCTTGTCCCACCGGGAGGCGCGCCTGTGTAAGGCTGTCTTGGTAAAGATCGCCAAGTTGTACCCACAGGCTCTCTTCTTCTTGCTTCGTACGAACAGAGAGGACATGCTGAGCATTAAGAAGCAGCATGACCAGAAACAGGAGAAGTTGAACCGGGCTAGACAGCAGCAGCAAGGATCCTCGCCCAGTACGAAGCCAAATCCTGTTGCTGGTGCTGATAGCTCCCCTGCCCAGAAAGCCCAGGCTGCAGCTGTATCGACCAATGCATCTCCGTCGGTTCCGCCTGCAAACTCGCCCGCCATACAGAATCCAGCTCAAGCACAAAGCCAGTCTCCCGCACAGCCACAAAATCTCATGCAGGCATCTCCACAAGCTGGCCAAACTCCGGGCCAAGCGCAGCAAACTCACCTGCAAGTCCCAGGTCAGACTGGAACACCCCAACAGAACCAGTCTGCGCCCGTGGATGGCGAGAAGGAACCTTTGAAGAAACCCTGGGAGTACTCGGATGAAATCATGTCTGGACTCAAGACGGCTTTCCCCTTACTTGCTTTGTCCATGGAAACAATGGTCGACCAGATCCACAAGAACTTCAAGTGTCCCCCCGACGAGGATGCTTACCGACTCATCGTCGCTCTCTTGAACGATGGACTGGCCTACGTGGGTCGCATGCCTGGATCTTATGCGCAAGACTTCAAGTTGCCTGCCGCAACAGAAGCCAACATCACTCGATTCGCGGAGACTATTCTCCCAGCTCACATTCGCAAGTCATTCGAGGCGGACTTTGTGACCAAGAAGCCGACCATGAACGAGTACATCCACAAGCTGCGGCGCTGGCGTGACAAGTTCGAGGAGAAGCTCGATCGCAGATCACAGCACACATTCCTCGAAAACTCTTCACCTCATCTGAGTGAGTTCCGATTCCTTAAGTTTGATGAAGTCGAGGTTCCCGGCCAGTACCTACTCCACAAGGATAAGAACCAAGACTTTGTCCGCATCGACCGCTTCCTCCCCGATGTGGACCTCATCCGAGGCATTGGTGTCTGCCACCGTCGCTTGAAGATCCGTGGACACGATGGCAGTATGCAAGCATTTGCCGTTCAACATCCCGCTGCCCGCCACTGTAGGCGCGAAGAACGCATTCTTCAACTCTTCAGAATCTTCAATGGTCTGCTTGCGAAACGGAAGGAGAGTCGCCGCCGCAACTTGTACTTCCACCTGCCGTTGATGGTTCCTCTAGCGCCACACATTCGGTTGGTGCGCGATGATTCCTCGTACATCTCTATGCAAGGAATATATGAGGATTATTGCCGCCGCAAGGGCATCAACAAGGATGACCCGGTGCTCTTCACAATGGACAAGATGCGGTCGTTGGCAGAAACGAAGCAAAACGTAAGTGTGCCCTCCACCTTTCACATAACAAAGACTAACAATTCCCAGCGCACGGCCGATCAGCAACAGGTCCTTCGCACAGAAATCCTAACCGCGATTCAAGACAAATGGGTCCCGAGTACCGTCGTGTTGGAATACTGCCAGCAGACATACCCCAACTTCTCGGACTTCTGGCTCTTCCGACGTCAATTTGCCTACCAGTACGCGGCGATTGCTTTCATGACCTACGTTATGCACATTGGTAACCGATACCCGAACAAAATTATGATATCTCGTTCAACAGGCGATATATGGGGTGCCGAATTGATCCCCACCATCAACCCAGCCAAGGCGTTCTTCTACAACCCCGAGCAAGTCCCCTTCCGGTTCACACCCAACATCCAGACACTTCTGGGTCCCATTGCGACGGAGGGTGTGTTCGCCTGTGCAATGATGGCAATCGCCCGCTGCCTGACGGAGCCGCGACACGAACTGGAGCAACAGCTCAGCGTCTTCGTGCGCGACGAGATGATGTTCTGGGCTACGGCTCATCACCGCGGTGTCCTACCCCCTGGGCAACTCCGTGATCTGGTCTACAACAACAGCGAGATTATCGTCAACCGTGCTGTCAGTCTTGCCAGCCCGCCGGAGGGTAACTTGCCTGCTAATCAGACCACTATCGATCTGATCTCTAAGGCAGTCAACCCTCAGCACCTGGCGTCGTGCGATGCGTTGTGGATGCCGTATCTGTGAGCAATGCTTGTTGTCAGTTTGCGTGTTTCTGTCCTGCTACTTGGCGGTGGGAACTTCTTGTATGGCTATTGTGCTTTCTCAAGCGGTGGGTTTCGTCTCTGGGTCTGTTTTTCTGAGCGTGGGCGCTTCGGCGAGGTGCGCAGCTTTTCTTCATGTTACTATGATTGTGATACCGATTTTTTCTTCTTTTACTACCTTCTACAATGTCTTTGATACTACGGAATATTAGCTCTGATAGTTATTAATGGTTCGATTTGATTTCATCGTAATCTCATTGGTAACTGAGAGACCGAAATCTGTTCCACTTGTCGGGACCAGACTCCTATAGATCTTGCTCTGGCCCTCCTAGGGATGTCTGATGCTTATAAGAGAGGCCTCTCTATTAGAATTTTAAAATGAAAGACAATAAAATTTGATAGAGTTCGATTGATAGTCTCCAGGGTGGATGATAACTATCTAACTACAAGCGAATGACCAAGCGGGGATAATGCCCACGCCCTGGGAGAGCGGTGATCTCACCAACTCTCCTTTTCAACCCGCAGAAAGACTAACATACCCTTTTTTTTTTTTTTTTTTTTTTTTTTCCTTCAGTAACCTGATACGCCTGGCCAGTAGTTGAATCATGACGCCGTGAATGCTCGCTTGAACTCCGTGCCCATAATAGAAACAAAGGCGTTAATGCGAAGGAACTTGGTCCTCGCGTGGGAACTGCGAAGGAAATTATTCCTCGCTGGGGGTAGCCTGGGTGCTGTTGGTAGGTTGGGCGCTGGGGGTAGGCTTGGGCTTGGTCAAGCCCTTAGCCTTGCGAGCGCGCAGGTTGGCAAGGCGACGACGACGCATCTCGCGACCCTCCTTCCACCATGCAGCCCGGCGAGCCGCAGCCTCTGCCGAATGCGATTCTTCGTATTCCTTTTCCAAGGCTGCCTGCTCTGCAGCATGCTTCTTTGCTCTGAACTCCTCGCGAATAGCCGCCCGGTCCTCTTCTTCGGCCTTGGCGCGGCGAAGGGCCTCCTCGTCGATCTTCTGCTGAACAGTAGCCATAGCAGCCTCGTCGCCGCGGGCCTCGGTGCGCTCGATGCGGGCGTTGCGAGTGCGAATTTCGTCGAGGGCGTCAGCGATTTGCATCTCGCGCTTGGAGTCGAGCATCTTGTCTTCGAGTTCGGCCATCTTGTCTCGCTCAAGTTGTTCTTCCTTGGCGCCATGTTCCTTCTCGAGGCGGTCGAGTGTCTGCTCCTCAGTCTCGTCGTTGTATTTCTCGTCTGTGGCGTCGCGCCAAACTTCGAAGTTGCGCTTTGCGCCACGCTCGCACTGGTAGTCGCCATCTAGTAAATAACGTTAGTTTTGATATGGGGAAGTGGATGGGAGCATGATTTGAAACTCACTCTTGGGGTCGGTGCGGAAGGTTATCTCGCCACTGCATCGAGTGCAACGGATGTAGAAGCGGAATACCGAAATTGACAGGTACTTCTCATCAAGTGTCTCCTTGCGCGCGTTGAACTTGCGACCCTTTGGAATGTACTCGCCACAGTGGGTGCATTTCATCGAGAAGGGTGTCATCAGACGGCTGGCGGACAGCTTCGCTTCGGGTTTTCCATCCTTGCGAGAACGCTTTTTGTTCTCGATGGCAGTGGGATCGAAGTCCGGTGGGTAATACTTTGAAAGAACCTTTCGCTCAGCCATGATGCTTTGATAGCGAAGGGAATTAGGGGGAGTGGTGGAAGTGGGAGAAGTGATGGAGGTGGGAGATCGACAAACCTCGTCTGGGAGCTGCGGGCCGCGCGCGACGCGCGGGGCTACCGACTCGGTGATCACGTGGGAGTCATCCGAATCAGCCTCCCGGATACGCTTCAGGTAACCCGCTACGGGACTTAAACGCATCGCGGCTAGCGATAACGATAACGGGAGCGATAACAGCGATAGCGATAACGAGAACTCGGAGGTGTGCCGAGGTCAAAAATCACGTGGGAAGACCACGAGAAGGGAAGCTTACCCGAGGGAGTCTCGCTACGCCCAAAGCAGAAGGTGCGCCCCAACGATGAATAGGGAAGGAACATTGAAACTTCCATTACATGCCATCGCTCAACCTCGAACTAGCTATAGTACAAATACGAGTACTACTACATAATATCAGTAAGATTGAATGGTTCAGACACTACATATGTGTGATTAATTCTAAATAATGAATGTAGAAGCTACAGGTCCCGGCATCACAAGTACGCACGGACCACTGTTTGGTTCAAAATAGGCCAAGGACCCGCTCATGTGAAAGTTGCTACTTGCATTGCTTGGAGGATATCTCCAGCTTCTAAGAGGAATCTCTCCATGTCTGTTTTCTCTGTGAAGCCATTCCTTAACGCGCCCCATCTGTCAATATGGAAAGGTTCCTGCGCTCCTGGCGGCAGGACGCGTTAAACCGTGGCCAGCATGATTCCGCAATCTACATTGGGGACAAAGTCCTGGCGCTAACCAGTAAGGAATACAAGCAGCGTGGATATCCAAAACAATACAATGGATACTGACTTGCTGGCGAAGACAGTGATTCCGACGCGTTTTGGCTGGCTCAGGTACACTTCTCGAATAACAACTTCACGCGCGCCTTGGCCCTTCTGTCACGCAAGGATCTCGTTTCCCGAAGCACCGCCTGTCGTTACCTTGCTGCGCACTGCTACATAAAACAGAATCAATTCGAACAAGCCCTCTCTATTCTCAGTGAACACAACCCCACAGACCTCATCCGCAATAACCACACTCGCCGCAAGATCCAACACCAAAGCCATGTCACACTGCGCAACGGGAAGAGCGCGACGCCGCGGAGTGATCGGGCCGAGGAGCGAGAACGTGAGGATGCCAACAATGTACGATTTGAAGCCGCCATGTGTTATTTACGGGGACTGTGCTTCGCGAAGCAGAATGCATTTGATCGTGCGCGGGACTGTTACAAGGACGCTGTGCGCATTGATGTGCAGTGTTTTGAAGCATTTGACCAGCTGATGAAGAACTCTTTAATGTCTCCCACGGAAGAATTGGAATTCCTTGAATCACTAGACTTCGATTCCGTCTCCTCCCCCGATCCCATGATGGCACAAGAGGCCGCCCACTTTACGAAGATGCTGTACACGACCCGTCTATCGAAATACTCCTCTCCTACCATCCTCTCCGACGCCACCGAAACCCTATCCACACATTATAATCTTGCAGAGAACCCCGATATCCTTTTATCCCGCGCGGAAGCTCTGTACACGCAATGCCGGTTTGCAGAAGCTTTAGAACTGACGTCCTCTATCCTCTCTACATCTCAATCAACCGACCTGGCCTCCACAAATCCCAGCATTCCCGCACAAAACAACCTTGGCCATGCTCCAGCAATTTATCCGCTCCACTTGGCTTGCCTTTACGAGACCGGTGCCACGAATGCCCTATTCTTACTTTCTCATATGCTTGCGGATCACTCCCCCGAGGAGCCTTACACATACCTGGCAATCGGAGTGTACTATCTGTCGGTATCAAAGGTCGCTGAGGCGCGACGCTTCTTCTCGAAGGCCTCATTACTAGATCCACATTCGGCTCCGGCTTGGATTGGATTTGCGCACACCTTTGCCGCAGAGGGTGAACACGACCAAGCCATTGCAGCGTACAGTACTGCTGCTCGCCTTTTCCAAGGGAGCCATCTCCCACAACTCTTCTTGGGAATGCAGCATCTCGCTCTCAATAATATGTCTCTGGCGCACGAGTATCTATGTGCTGCTCACGCCATGTCGACTGGAGCTGCCCCCGGCTCTGTCCCTTCCCTGGCACCTAATCCCTCCGGAATTGTCTCAGCCGTCGGCGGGGACCCATTAGTCCTCAACGAACTTGGAGTTGTCCTTTACCATCAGAATCATCTTAGCGGTGCCATTGAATTGTTTGGGCAAGCACTAGCGCTGGCTACTTCTCTCCACTGCGAACCCAGTGCCTGGGTGGCTACACGTGCAAACCTAGGTCATGCCTTACGCCGCATGGGCCGTCTGTCCGAATCCCTTCGTGAATTTGATGAATGTCTCCGCGTGGGTGCGGGAGGGAGCAGCATGGGCTACTCGCCGTTTTTGGGGGGTGGAACGGGTGGCTCAGGGGCGATCGCTACCGCGTCTGGGGTTGGGGGCTACGAAGATCGGGGGCTGACGGGTTCTCTTCATACGTCTCGTGGCCTTGTGTTACTGGAGTTGGGACGAATCACTGACGCGGTGACTGCCTTGCATGAGGCCGTGCGTGTACTTGGGGCGAGTGGCGGTGGTGATGCAGCCGGGGGTGCAGGTGTGGCGGGCACATTACTTTCACGTGCACTCGAGCTCTGGGCCTTAGAGGGGCGACAGAAGGACCGCACAGCTTTTGAGGAGAGTATGCGAGAAGCCAGTGCAACCTCCTCCAAGCGTCGGGGATCTACCCGGTCCCGTGAACATAAGGGGAAAGAGCGAGTCGCCCCGGAAGAGATGTCTCGACGACGTGGACGTCAAGAGCCCTTTGTAGAAGGGTGGACGGAGGAGGCGGCTCATGTCGCCACGCCCCCAGCCGAAGATGAAAAGGTGGAAATGGATCTCGACGACGAAGCTGACGGACTTTTGCGCCGAGCTCTCGGTCGTGTGCGACACAGCCGACAACGTCGACCCGCAGTACCTGCTACCCCGGATATGGATGCCAGTCAGACACCTGCTCCATCCAGTCGCAGTCGGGGAATACGACATGGACGGAGTCACTCTGGGCAGTGACGAAGGTTTTGAATCCTCTCTAGGTGACATTTTGCGTTATTTTCCATGCATTGCGGGCGTTTCTGCCAAGGAAAATTGGCTAGGCGGTTGGGCAATTAGTGTGTTTTTTTTTTTTTTGCTGTAATGGATTCTCATAGTAGATGATCAAGCTGACATTGTTAGAGGCATTGCTTATATCTGTATCTAGTCTGAAGTGGGAAACGGTAGTTCAAACAGAGCCCTATCCACTTGACTTTAGCCTTCGGCCCCTAAGGCTAATTTCCTATAGCGTCTCGCCTATTAGCCACTAGGGGCAAAGTAGTGTAGATCAAAAGGACCATGTCAGTACTATATCCCGTATAACTCCATAAATCTCAAAGGATCAAGCTTCCCCATCCAGGACAATGAACAACTGGCAATCCTTTTTCTTCACGCCTTTACTCTGCTCTGTTCATTATATTTCTTTCTCTCCATATATCTCGGAGGATTATTCCTATCCAACCAATCTAATTATATCAAACCAATCAAAAGTACCAATATGAAGTTAGAACGATGACGCCGCTCCCCACTGGGGTCAGCCTGGGGTTCACCAATGCTGGTATTTGGAGGGAACTCTCATTCATATTTGCCCACCGCTACACTTTATAAGCATTGTTTCAGGGCTTGATGCCCCTTCTCTTTTGCCATTATGCTTCTTCCCACTTTGAAACACTCTTCAGACTATACTATTCACATACCAAGACAAACGTCAAGCCATTCCCAGATCATGCCGTGCAAGTCTAGATCACCATGACAGCCTCATTTCCAATTCACTCGCGACACGGTTTGTCGCTTCTCTGCGTCATAACCGCATTTAGCTTCAGTGCCATCATTGTCATTTGGTTTGGCATGAACTCCGACAGAGAATACATTCATCCCGTCCTCACCCAGTTGATCCCCGCCGGACACTGCGCCTGCGAATCCTCCACCACCTTCCAATGCTCGACATGTCTCACCTGCCCCGAACCCGGTCTCCCAGCAGACACCTCCCGCGCTTGGTCCTTTGAATATACCCGGGATGGTCGCAACGAGGCCCTAGGCAACAGCCAGTGCAAATCCGCGTTCCTCGGGTTATTCGAGGACTTCGCGCGCGGCGTCAAATTCTGGTCTTCGCACGGTCGACTGTCGTCTGTGGACCTGGACACCATCCCAATCCAACATGGTATGGCGCGCGCATTTATCTCCAATGGACGATTATATGTGGTGGCGGCGCGATCTAAGGGCGAGGATCATCGGCGGAAAATTCTGGGGACGTTGAGCTCAATCCATCGTGCGCTGGCCGCCGACCCGGAACGAGTTTCTCGGCGAGACTTTGAATTTGTGTTCTCGGTGGAAGATAAGGTCGACGATGTGACCAATTCCGAATGGCCGGTTTGGGTGTTTTCACGCACGTCCAGGGAAGAGGGAGTTTGGCTTATGCCGGATTTTAGCTTCTGGGCCTGGGATAACCGGGACAATTACATGGGGCCATATGACCAGGTTGTTGAGCGAATCGAGAGGATGGATATCCCCTGGTCAGAGAAAACGCCTCGGTTGGTCTGGCGGGGGAAGCCCAGTTTCGCGCCAAAATTGCGACGTGCGTTAATGGAGGCCGCTAGGGACGAATCGTGGGGCGATGTTGAGCAGGTTGATTGGAATACGGGTTCGAATGTCCTGAGGATGGAAGATCATTGCCATTATATGTTTATTGCGCATGTTGAAGGTGAGTGTGATTTCTTTTATTCTCCTATTGCGACCTATTGCGACGTGGACATATCAACCAACCACTCGAACCATTTAGGTCGCTCTTATTCGGCTTCATTAAAATATCGGCAGGCCTGCAATTCTGTCATTGTCGCACACAAACTCCAATTCATTCAACATCACCACTATCTATTGGTGGCAGACGGTCCCAACCAAAACTATATCGAGGTCAAGCGCGATTTCACCGACTTACCGGAAAAGATGGAGCCCCTCGTTAGCAACACTAAACTTGCACAGCGCATCGCTAACAACAGTGTGAAGACTTTCCGTGAGCGATATCTCACACCCGCCGCTGAAGCCTGTTACTGGCGGTCATTGTTCGATGGCTATGCTGATGTCTGGATTGGGACCGTCGAGCAGTGGTCCGAAACCAAAGACCGCGAACGAGGGCTTCGATACGAATCGTTTGTCCTTCTAGAAAGCATGAAGATGTACGAATTCGAGGCTACTAGAACTGCACAATGACAAGCTATCTTGTAACCATATGCAACCAGGATAGATCCGTCCGGTCTTTTTTCTTTTTTTAAAAAGAAAGGCGTTTTAGGGATTGAAGTTTTTTCCCCTTGGTACATATGATACCACGAGAGCGATTATCTTAGACAATTAGACAATTTAGAGGTCATTCGATCAAATTGGGATGTTAATCCCACGTTTCTTCGATCATATAGTGCTTCTTTGCCTCATTCTAGTCCATTGCCACTCTTCTAGCGCCTTCTTTCATATCAATCACCAATATATGTGATACCAATCATCCGTCAACCAGTATGACTCGGTGTCTTTACCTTACGCCGAAGTCTCCAACTCGGTCAAAATAACCCGACAACCCAGCGGTGCCAGGATCCCACCCTATTCAAATCAGTACATCAATTATACCCACCAGTACCTAGAGGGGGGAACATACCGGCGTCATCTTCAACCGATACTGAGGATCAACAACCCACCTAACCCTCCCCAACAAAACAAACAACAAAATCTTCACCTGCAACAACGCAAACCCCTGCCCAAGGCACTTCCGCTTATGCGCATTAAACGGAATATACGTGCCCCGAACCGTCTCCCTCCGAAACCGCCCCTGCATCTCCTCAACAGTATCCCCCCACCTCTCAGCCCGGAACTCTCGCGCATCAGAACCCCATACTTCGGGGTTACTATGCACGGCCCAAGCATTCCATCCCACAAATGCCCCCTTTGGGATAGGAAGTTCACCACCCAGTAACGCGGGCTGTAACGCGACTCGGTTAATCAGCTGACATACAGGCGGGAAGAGACGAAGTAGTTCCAACACCACGGCCGTCAGGTACGGTAGACTGTTGATAATTTCCTGGGATGGATTTGGATGGGCTTTTGCTGTAGTCAGGATCTCCTCCCGTAATCGATCTTGAATATCGACTCGTGTCCCCAGCTGCCAGAACATCGACGTAACGAGTTGCTGGGCATTCTCGTGGGCCGTTAAAAAGGTTATCTTTAGATTATCGCGGAATTGCTTCTCGGTTATTCGGCCAGATGTGTATGCTTCCCCCAGCATGTGCGAGACCATTTCTTCGGATTGCGTGGGTTTGTCTTGTGTGCGCTTGTGGAGCATGTTCATTATCATTGTGTACAGTCGGTTGTCGAATTCGTGCATTATTTGGTACGCGCGTTTGCGTGAGGGTAGTAGCCAGGGGAAGTGGTCAAGATCGGGGAAACTGAAGTACATTGGTTTGAAGAGGGTTGCTTTGATTATGGATTGGAGGGCTTCGATTCGGACGGCGCCGTCTGGTTGGCCCAGACTCTGCCAGAGGCTTCGTTAGTATGGATTAAACTGTAGGATTGGGAATTGGATGTTCATTGCAGGTTGATGGTTGATACCTTCAAATCCAAATCCAAGAAATTTTCGCCCATCACATCAACAGCCCATTTCTGTACATCTGCCATAACCAGAATACCCTTGTTGGCTCCAGTCTTCTTCTGCAGATCAATCAAAACATCAACTAGCCTCCTCGACTGTTTCAACAAAGAAGTCGTCTCAAAAACCTTCTTCTGCAACCCAGCCTTCATAATACCAGTATACAGCCTCCAATTCTCACCATGGGCATTGATAATGTTATCACCAACAAGCGTCGCAATGACAGCATGCGGGACTTTAATCTGACTCCCTGCTTTTGCATATAATTGTTCATTGCGAAACATATCGGTTAACCAATCCGGTCGTGAGACGAGAACGCTCCAACGTCCTGCGAACCAGACTAGCACGGCGCCGTGTTTCTCTAGTGGAGCCCTGAACCAGCGTTCGTAGATCTCATCCTGACCCATTGAGGACCAGAGGCCGAGGATTGAGACATAGATTGGGATTTGGGGAAGGTTTGGGAGGTTTCGGGGGATATGGAGGTACCAGATTAGGAAGAGGAGGGGTGGGAGCACAAAGGTTAAGAGGGCAGAGAGGAGTATAGAGGGTAACGGCATGGTAGGGATTCGGTTTGAGGGATTCTGTGGAAACAAGGATTTAAGATAATAGAAATGCGATTTTGATACTCTCTTGCTAGTGCTATATAGAGAGTTGGGTGTCTACTCGGAGCTCCGTGCCCTAATGCACCTAGTGTCAGCGGAAGTCAACACACTTCCACTGATGTCACACTGCCCATGGTGGCTATTGTTGGTTAAGTTTCTGCTGAGTTTTACTGATAGGTAGCTTTTGTTTTGGGATAGGGTTCGGTGTATTGGGATAGGCACTAAACATTGTGTTGTATCCGTCGGGGTCGTCTACCACATAGAATGAAAAGCTCAATGTTTAATGATGCTATTCAAAAAAAGTTACCTTCATTCTTACGTAGGTGGAACATCTTCAATAACAGAGTGGAGATGAATTTAAAAGCCAAACAATATCAAGGGTCGAGAAGTGATATAATATGAACACGTTCACAACCCTGTCACTATAGCCACACATGCAGCAAAGTTCCGTGATACGATGGAATCGTCTCTAAATTCCTGCCCTAAGCGTAGCAGACAGCGAGAACCCATAAAATACAGTAGCTATCATGGCAATAGCATTCAAATGGATGGCCATTGCGTGATTTCGTGCGAAATTGCGGTTAGCCCGATGCACCTTTGACCCACGGGCGTCAGTATCGGTAGTCTCGCTTTCTGTGGGTACAATAAAATGTTAGCTGCATAGTTTAAAAAATGAGGCGGATCCATGTAAACGCAAACCCACCTTGTAGTGCCCTCCTGACCAACGTTGCAGTTGTCGTCCGAGGCCCGTAGATGAACCAATTCAGACATCCGGTCAATCCAACAATAGCAAGAGGAGCTACACTCCATGGATCTTGGACCAGTGACAAAATACTGTACGGTGGGTGTGTTGCTGCCGTCAACGCTGTGAGTCCGACTTGTGTTCCGAAGTAGATGGGGAAAAGACGCTTTTGGAGCTGGATGAACTCCTTCATTGGTAAGGCTTGGTAGCATATTTTTGTATTAACAAAGCTCTGTATTTGGTTAATCACAAGATTTCTTGTTTGTTCGAGAGATAAGAAACGTACCTGGTAGAGCTCTGTTCCGAGAAGAGCGCCATAGGACAGAAGATGATATGGGAGAAGATTGCCAACTATGTCGAGAAAAGCCTCCATTATGTCAAGCTGTGATGGTAGCATGAAGTGTGTTGTGACTGGAAGAGGGGAAGATGGTAGAATTGGAGAGTGTGGTACTATTTGGGGGCCCGGCTGTGTACGGAATCCTTGGCTGCTTACTGGCTGAGATGTCGACCAACAAAGTCAAGTCAAGGCTGATGGACGTGAGATGTCAATTTTCTTCACTTGGATGTTTATGCCTAACATGCAGAAGTTGATTGGTTGTAATCGTATTATATAAATATTGGCTTATATCCCATACATTCTACTATAGCATGAATACTATATGCTGATACAATCCTAGGTGTGCTGCACAAATCATTTGCGGGATAAAGCTTCTCTCACTCCGTTACACAAAGGAATTTGCGTTCCAGAATGCAATCCAGCGACAAACCGAACCGGATCTTCCGCTATTCCCTACGCCTGGATCTCACATGCATATGTATCCCGGGGGACATGGAAGAGTGGTCAAAGTAGCACCACCTAGCAGTTAGCTAGGTTCATGAAAGAAGTTCATTCACACTACGTTGTTGGACCAACACTGGGAATCAGCCCATCTATGACGCAACAGCACAGATGACTTCCCTCGGGAGGTGCTCAATGCTATATTCTTGAACTACTGAACCAAGAAGAATTGAGAACGATTGAGAACGATTGAGAAGGTAATGTGAAGTTGAGTAGATAATGTGACCTCCCCAAAACCCAGAGTAAAAGAAGGTATATGACAACCGGGTTGGGTTAAACCCGGAGTATATCCAGCGTGAGCTCATTGTTCTTGCAGGAGGGGCCAAGGCCCGTCAATGTCTTATTTTTAGACTTTACGTTGAAGGTTGTACTAGCGGTGATTGCCTTGCAACTGGTAGCCTGCCACAATAGCCCTAGCCTCCCTGTCTTTCTGCGAACTGCTGATGAGTGTGGTATGGAGACGGATGAAACCCAATAAGAGAACGTCTGTCTGGTTCATTCTCAGCTTGAACACAAGATCATGGCGATTGCCCTTGCCACGTGGGTCTGTGTAATTAGGTAGTATAAAGGCTGAATTCGGAGATGTCCGACGCTACGACACGATACTTCGACACCTACATGTGATTCGAAGTATAAGTAGGCGGGTACAATCATCCAAAAGTACCGGGGGTAAGTAGGTTACCACCCAGAACAATGTAGCACGGTCTTGTCACATCAAGCGTCTAAAACAGGTTGTTGGGCTCCGATACGCGAGACTTTGAGCCATCGAGGTGGGCCCAAGCTGAGGGCCTCATAGTTTTTACTAAATCCCAAACTGTTGGAACAAAGGAATGAGAATAATGAGAATCCAGGGCAGCGCCATGTCCAAACACATGTCCAGGCCGGGGATAGCCTTTGATTACACCACCTCGTGTGACCATCCTGAAACCTTCTCCCAGAATGCTCAATTCTGCACAAGAGCTTTGTCTACAAGTAATGGGCAAGCTGAGAAGGGCAAGTAGTTTGACATGCCCAGACCAAATAACATCACGCGGCTGAAAAAGCGGAGGTTGAACCAGTGGCTTTCAGACCGAATCATCGATCACCGAAGACCCGTTGTACAAGCTGCGTCACACAGTAAGATCAGGCGCGATTTTTCCTCGTGGGTGCACGGCCTGTATAAAGCAAAGAGAGGCTGACGGTAATATGTATTTTGCTTCTGAGTTTCCGCACTGAACACTTCGAGACTCGAAACTTCTACCGAAAGAACTTATATGAGATATGCAGCATCCTCGAGCACGATAGTATCCGTCAAACCTATAACACACCACAGCAACACTCTACAAGATGAAGATGGAAGATCAGCCTACGAGTCCTAAGGACGAGGATATCCTCAACCAAACACAAGATCCGCTGGAAAGAAGGAGATTGCAGAACCGCCTCTCTCAAAGAAATCACCGTAAGATATTGCCACCAACAGAGAAGATAAGTTTTTCACTGACAAAATATAGGTCGCAAAATAAGAGAACGCATTACAAAACTTCAAGAGCGCGTCATCGCCAATGAACTCAGAGCTGCTGCTGCTCTCAATGGGTGGGACCAGGCATATAACCCATCGCTATTCCCAAGGTCTCACTCGTCTCCGAAGAATGAGCTCGAATTCACCTCGCGAGATCTGTCCCCTTTAACCCCAGACCAGTGTACTTCATTCATGCCATCATATCCCCCGCTCTCTCAGTCCTGGCCGAACGACTTTAACACATTCCCACAACACGTGTATCCCAGCGATCTTTCCCAATTTACCACAGTCAGTGAAGCAAGTCCAATATCTCCTATGACAAGCGCCCCGGCACAGCCAATCCACAGCACGTCACCTCCCAGCTCTGGTATCAACTACGATACATACAGGGAAGTGATAAGTACCCCGGAGACCTTCACACCAGACCCCTTGTCTACATCAGCGCCCAATCAGCCGCTGTACTACGTTGCGACTGGTCAGTACTCCAACTACATGGTATAGAAATTATCATTTAAACCAAGGAACTGACAAAGAACAGAAGAGGCACTGTCTCAAATTATCCAGGTCATCAACACGATGTCTCCACAATGCAAAGTGATTGTTCTGGTTCCTCCAGAGTCTCCAGCATCGGCCTCTATGTCTTCGTTCCCTTCACCATCCTCTCCCTATAGGACTAGTCAGAATGGTTCGGAACAGGACCCTCCATCACAGCAGCCTAACTCACGGAATATAGGTTGTCTGTGTTATCCTCACAATGTCCATTCTGGGAATTCTGCGCACTCCACTTCAAGGCCATGGATGGACGGGGGGTCATATCCGTAAGTGTGTCCTTTGCGCAAGACGGTAAATACAGTCTCACCAAGGGGAGGCTTCCCTGTTAGGATGGTGTGAGTCTGTTGTGGTTGTGTACAAAGATAGAGGTGGTAGAATAGGACTGAAAGCCAGATATACACAAAGAGCGGGTATGGACGAATTGTGCATATATCATGATTTTTACTGTCTAGAGAGCAATCTACTTTTTACCGAACTGAGTATTGATCGAGCAAATTTCAGATAATAGCGGGCTAGAAGAGAAACTTTTAGCATGACCGAATTAGAAACTTCCTGTCGAGAGTAACTAGCTGAGAGAATATTGAGAGGAAAGCAGTACTTTGTGCTGCGAGACCTGAAATGATATCAATGAGTGTAACGCATCAACACGCGGGGCTTAGAAGGGGAAGACTGGAAACTAGGCCGAAGAGGCCATGATAGATATCTAGGTAGTGATTCTGGGGGGACTTGGAAAGATACAACCGTAAATTAATGAATGAGCAACATATTTCAACACAGGGTTTACTCGTCGAGTGCCCGAAATGGTAACTCGGGCCACTTTGGCCAAGGCGAAACCTGCAATTTTAACCACCTGCACCAAGTTCGGCTTTACTTCATTCCCACATTGAAGATAAATATTTAGGGATTGGTAGAATACTAATTATTGGGCCGGTGCCTTGTAACTAATAGGCGTTAGACATGTCAAATAGTAACGAGGGGAGAGTGCTGTATTATATTCATATTGTAGAGACTAAGCATGGAAGATATTCGAAAACACCTGCTTCGAAATCTAGTGGATATTGCATTGAAGACGTGTGTAATTGCTTTAAAATACTTAGCAACTTCGCGCAAAAAACAAGCCAGATATATGGAAAAACGAGTGACCAAGCGCAGACAGAAAAGAATGACAGAAAGCAAATAACACAAGATCAAAAGCCAAGACACATGAACATCTCAATCACAGTGAATTCGCCACAGCTCCCGATCACAGTTACTAATATATCCAGTACGAGTATGGAGCATGGCAGTATTATCACTAATCAACAAATCACCCTTCTCCCAACCAAAGCGAAGACAAACTCTATAGTCATATGTGATGTGATCCACAACCTTGACGAGACTATTGTCGTCATTCTCAATTGAAACATCACAAGTCGAGAATTTGGTCTTGGTTGAGTCCCAAGGCTGATGCCAGCGCAGACAAGGCAGTCCCGAGATAGGATGCTTCACGATCAAAGGCAAGTTCTTAAGTTTTGCATCCCAGAACCCATCATTATCCATAGCCCAGGTAACCTTTTCAAGACGGTCAGAAGACCATGGAAGAGGCAGGTACCGGAAAAACAGTCGAGAGCTTGCAAACAAAGTATACCCATTTCCTTTCGGCGCAGTGGCAGGACAAGTGAAGAACTGATAGCCCGGTGGATGTTGGACTTTTTTCTTTTCGCCCGTTTCTGGGTCGGTGATCTCGTCGAATTTGAACATCCCATCAAAATGCATAGGCATAGCCTCGTTGGACGTCACGTTGTTACCCATCTTGTCAGAGCGGCCGTTGTCCCGTACCTTTTGGATTATACCGAAGCTCCATGGGAGAATAGTGCCAAGCTCTTCTGCCTTCTTGACATATAGATCTTCTTCTAAAGTCTCGGAAAACCCGCGGATGATAATTGGTGACATACCGTTCGACAGCTGGCGGACTTTCTTCATGGGGATGGAGCGGATCGACGGCGGCGGATTGACATTGTCGATATCGGCGGGGCGGATGATGAGTCCGCAGGGATAGAGATGCTCGAACTTGACGGATAAGCCGTCCTTGGTCCAGTCAAAGAGACTCGATCTTTCGCGGAAGAAATATGGTTGTCCGTTCATATAGATGAGATCGTGCGTGTCGCGTACGTCTTCGGCATGGACCGTGCGATACGAACCGTCCAGTCCGACAGCCACACAAGAGTGCCAAGGTGTATACCCTAGCGTGCCTCGAATCTGCGGAATAAGCGAGACGGAAAGCTTTTTTTCGCCCGCGGACTCGTGGATAGATAGTCGTACGTAGTCCTTTCGGTTGGCTTTAATGGCAGCCGCAAACATTTTTCCCCGAATGATCATCTGTCGTGCTGCGTCGGCAATCTGCGCTTGTCGGGCGCGTTTTGACATGGATTTGTCCTTATCCTCCAAATGGGCTAGATCCTTGGTCAAAAATTTGATGTAGCCGCGGTACGTCAGGCATGTATCGTTGTCGGTTTTGATAGCCTCCGTCGCGTCGAAGCTCGGGTCCGCGAATGTGTACATCAGCTCGCGGCGGAGGCAACTAGCGTGAGCCAGATAGAATGCCTTGGCGGCTTCTGGAGTTGAGGATGGGAACCATGGATGCTCGAGAAGTTCGAAAAGACGAATGAATTTGACATGGTGGAGCTCTTTCTCGATAGCCATTCTTCGCAGGGTTTCTCCATAGTCCCAAACGGTTTCATCAGGGACGCCAAGGATATCTAGCGAATGTCAGTATTGAATGGTTGTCAACATCCGCGTTGCTCGTTTCCTTACCATTGTATACAAGTCCATCCGAACTGATGTAGACATCGGCACCAGGAGCGTATACTTCACCGATGTTTTGGCAAAGCCCATTCAAATGCGCCAAGGCCAATTCTTCACCAAAGTCGGGCAAATTGCCCAGCACTTTACTGTGCGCATTGGGTGATTTGAAAGGGAATGCTGGCAAGATCATGCGGATTGGCTCCTGTCTGTCGATTTGCCCCAGGACAACTGGAACAAACGACTCAAAGCCCTTCCAGGAAATGCCCGACTTCTCAAAGTCAACACCATAACTTTCGATTATCTTCAATACATCCATAGCCATCAGTTCATCTCCAGAAAGGGTTTTCGGGATCTCAGAGGCGATGGGGTCGTTGAGCACATGTTGTTCGTGTTGGTTGGTACCACTGCCGTTTGAGGTAATAACCACCGGATCGGCGCTGTCATATTCAGGAGGCGTGATATCTACAGCCTTTAGAGTGACTTTCTGATTGGATATTCCCTTGTTGAAGGGAGAAATTCCATTCTCGGCATGCTTGGGGTGGTATGTAGTGGGGACAATGTCCGCACCCGGTGCCAAGGCGACCATCGTGACTCGATGTGGAATGTATGTTGCCAAGGGAGATACTCTGAGTCAGGCACGGTTCTACCCAGAAAAGGTAGGAGAGAAAAGTCTGAATGAGAAGTAACTGTATTGGTCTCACTTGAGTCCTGAGGAAAGATGTGTTGTTTTATCCAGAACCAGATGGTGCTATATAACCAGCATCGGCCAGAACACTGACCTCGCGACAGGAAATCTAACAAGTTCTACCCTCCGTTCCGATGACTGTAACTCCTGATGCGGACTAAGAAGTCAAGTCTTAGGTTCAACCTAGGGAATCCCAGGCACGAATGGAACGAGTGGCCATCACCCTGTACAACTTGGCACCAGGCTTTCCTACTAGACTTGACCTCATTCGTGAGGTCATAGTAGAAGCAACTCGCTAAACAGCCTTGGCTGACTTAGTAAAGGGCTTGAAGTTGAATTGTCAATAGGTTGGTTGCTGAGTCTGAGAAACTTAAACTTAGAAAGCTTCAGTTATCCTTTCAGTAGTGTCAGCAAAGCTCGCGTAGAACAGAAGAGTGAGGTGGCTTGAGGGATATTCCCAGAGTAAATGAGAAAAGACACAATTATCCATTGTTTCTGATGACTAGGGATGCATCAAAGTTTCAGATCCATTGGACAATCGAAATGGTTGTGCCTATATGTGTCAATGAGTCTTCCAAGGGGGGTCTCGGGATCCCCGGCAACCCGCTCTCAATGCTAAGAAGTGACCACAAATCTATCTGGGCAATGCTATGCAGATTCAAGACACATGTAACCTGTTGACTTGGACCGCTGGAAAGCGGCAACGTTGGTTTGATCCACGCTGTAGTGGCAACGAAAATGAGTCCAAAGCAAAGTTTTGGCGGCTGATTAACCGTGAGGTTATACAAGATGATGGTCCCAACGGTAACAGGACTCTCCTGAGGGCTGACCCATCAACGAATGTTCACTTGGGGGGAACTAAAAATAGCCGTCAATTCTATCGCTCTGTGACATCTACATTGGTTTTACATAGCAAGATTAGAAAATAGTACAACAAGGGAAGTATATATTGTGTAATTGATCAAATTGAACGAAGCCAAGCACACGTGTTGTGATACCTATTATGCTGTGTTCAATTCCGATTCCACCCCCGGTGCTTTATCAGCATTATAACATCCATTACCGCTAAGCCTGTAGCTCACTCTTCGAGCTCACGCCAATCATACTCCATAACCCGAGCGATAAATGCCGCCATGTCATGTGTTGCCAATTGACTAACCAGGTAGCATGTGGCGTCCAAGCCTGAGCTTATCCCCCCCGCCGTGACGAGTCGAACACCGCCTCCCTTCAACAGACCCCCGTCAAGATATCTTCTGTGCAGTACGGTCGTACCAGGCTCACCTGGAGCATGAGAACGAGCACAAATATCTCGAAGTCTGTCAAGAGCATGATGGTGGGTCGTTACAGCCATTCCGCCGAGTACACCTGCGGCCCCGAGCAGAAAGGCGCCGGTACAAACCGACAGCAAATTCCGGGTGCCTAGTGACTTATCCGCGGGTAGGGCTGTAAATTTGCGAATCAAATCAAGCTCCAGTGCGTTGTTTTCGATCAGTGGCTGCAGCACCGCCGGGGGGCCACCAGGGATGACTAGGATATGAAAGTCCGAAATCTGATCCATCGCATCAGGCAAAAGAAGGTCTGCGTGAACTGTAAGCGAACTTGCAGCGCGAATGGCGGGGCTGCAAGCGACAGTTTTGATTTCGAACATTCTGTCCGGGCTATCTGGGTTTCGGTTGTGCGAGACATGGGATAAGACTTCGATCGGGCCTGCGAAGTCGAGAACGTCTGCGCCGGGAAACAGGAGGACCCCGACTTTGTAGTACTTGTTGGGGGATTCAGAAGACATAATTGCGACGAGAAATTGCGATCTGGTCTTGCAAGACGTACCGAGGCAAATGTCTTTTGGTGGAGTGTGGGGAGAATAAATAATAACTGTAGTGAGATTGCCGGAGCTGATTCTGGGTTTCGCTTGAAAAAGATTAGAAAGGCTGAGGTGCATTTTACCTCGGAGCGTTTCTGACTCTGCTGACTCCGGCGTAAATAACTGCCCGACTTTGTACTACGCTGGTCTCCTCATTCACCGATTCGGAGGTTGGAGTTCTCGCAAAATGTCCAATAATATCGGACCTTCGTAGTGCGCTTGGAAATTAAGCTGTCTCGGGTGTCAGTAGTATGGAGCCCGGGGATGTAAATGTCTCACGTTGAATGATCTCGTGGGATTACCCAGCGAGATAAGATCAGGTAAAATGATGGGAGTTTAAGTAACCACATTAGGGTAGAGTCATGGATTATATAGGAGGATGAGAGGAGATTAATATCTACATGTAAAGGTTGGAGTGCCTGAGGCCGATAGCAGTACATTTGATATTTGGATAAGCTGCGTTCACTCCTTCTGAGAGCCAGTACTCTTCTTGACGTAATGTATTCTTAGCTTTAAGTGATTGTTAATAGATCCCAGTCTTCTGGTCATATCTTCAACCGGTCTTGATATATACCTAGATCCCGGGATACCAGCACCGTTCCCCCTGGGAGATGCAACGACTTGGAAAATACTTTGTCGTCCTTGATAATTCCCAAGGCTTCATATATGTATGACTAACAAGGAAAGTAGTACTCCGGAAAATCAGATGAGCAGAGACGTGAACCTCGAGCCATATCAGTCACTACCGAAAGAAATTAACGTAAGAACGGTCTATTGCAACTACCATGGTCTAGCAAGCACAATTATGAAACTATGCAAGCGTGTCAGGGTCCTCTCTGGTCTACTTTGTAGTTAAAACCCGAAGTGCCGATGTAGTCAATATTGGAACTCAGGGCTAATAGTAGTCATAATATAATTCCCCCGGAGCCCCGGGGCCCGTCCAGTCTCCGGAGATATGGGCTCACTCTGACCGCTCCCCACTATCCAAATAGTGGGGAATGATGGAGTAGAATGCAGATCCGGGGTTGAACAGAGAAAGGGTTCTTGTAAGGTGAATCTTGGAAAGTACCTCAGATATTGACGTAGTCGGTATGCATGAATCGTATTCGTGGCCAGATTCGAAGTATTGCGATATAGGATTTCGTAAAAGAGATTATACACATACTAAACGTTCAACGGCGCATCACACGGAAGAACATATTCAATTCATAAGAAAAGCCCTCCCCTCCAGCAAATTAAAATAAATTTGCAACAATAACAACAATCATGAGATGTACCGGAAAAAAAGACGCCGGCGCCGCGCTGAAGAAAAACAATTGAAAAGTAAACGCGTTTTAAGGGACAATTCACCTCAAATCACTAGCCCCACAGGGGTGGGTGAATATACTCTGCTGCACGATCCATTATATTGGGCATTGTCCATTCACCACTAGCAGAGCTTTCTGGCGTCGGGGGTGGAAGAGAACCAACGCTGGGGGTCATGTTTGCCTGTCCAGGGGCAAGTGTACCCATGGAAGCAGAGGCCGGGTTGAGGTTAGGAGTAGAGTACGCGGGCGTACCATTGCGTCCCATTGGAGGACGCGTAGATGGATTCCCAACTGCGGCAAGGAGTTTTTGCAAAGCACGATGTGTTTTCGCTAGCGACTTGGCCCATTGCGTTTGTGTATCAGGGGGTAACCCAACCGGAGAATTTGGATCCACCGCTGGAGCGATGGGGCCTGGGACGTTTGTAGCTCCTGTGATTGGGTCGTAAGTGCCGAGAGGTTGGGGCGGCGAGGTCATACTGGCCACAGTGGGGGCCTCGTTGGAATCATAGGCACGTTCCGTGCTTGCCTTTTGGGCGATGATGCCTTCGAGTGAATGCAGGAGATTCCACACATTCGGGTCTGCTTTCGCCTCGTCAATGACAGCAAGCAGGAATGCGGAGCTAATTGCCCGTTGTAATAAGATCCAGGAACGAGCTGCATGGGAACTAATGTTGTGCATTTCAATGTAAGCTTCAACAGTCGTCATCAGATTTGTCACGCAATTTTCGCGCATGCTAGCTGCGCTGGCGTCACTTAAATCAGCCATGGGTTTGAGTGCTGGCCTGCAGAGCTCAGAGGCGAAATAAGAAGAATGCAATTTCAACACAACTCGCTCTAGATGTTGCGTCGGTGTGGAGCAGTTTATTGCATCTCGCAGGTATGGCTTTGCTTCAATCATGATCTTCTGGATGCGGTCCTTATAAGTCTGTATGCTTTCCAAACTTATTTGCGCGTGTGGGCTCAGCATGCGAATGCGGACAACCTCTAGTGCAAGAGAAATGACTCGCGAAAGAGTTTCGAAATAAGATATATCACCGGGTTTGGTGCCCTCCCTATAAGCGATATCTGGCTGGCTCACTGCAGTGGTGGAAGGCCGATCGTAGGAGAGCGAAAAATGGCTGTCTTGCCACGCCATGGACCACCTATTCATGTCAGGACCACATGCTTTCGCGTTATGGAGAAAGTATCTTACCAAACATGTCGCCGGCGGTATCGTTCAGCTGACGAAAATCGACTTGACTCCACATGGAGACCGAGCGCCAAGCCCATGCGGAGAGTCATGCCAAGCAAGACATAAGAAATTCCAGGATTCATGTTGTATGACAGAACGTTTCCTATCACCAGGAGAGTTTGTATTGCCTCGATGGTGGGCTGGGATAGGAAATTTGTCATGCGGAGGCACTGGTAGGAGCAGCACACTATTTGAAGTGTTAGCCAAGGACTCCAATATAGTCCTTGGTGTGAATCACATACCATAAACTTGCGAGGTCAATTCCCTTTCCTTGCTCCCATAATCGGATGACTGGCATCCAGACGCAAGGATAGCGAACAGTAGGCCAAGGTACGCAATGCTCACCCCGAAAGGCTTTTGTGCTTGGTCTGCATCAGCCAGGTAATCGCCACCGATAGAGGCTCTTGTCCCCAGTAGAAGCTCGAGAGTGTTCTCAAACTCATAGATGTCTTCTAAAACAGGATAGATGGCCCCCGAAATGTCCTTATAGTAGTAGAATAACCTGTAGGGAGGAAGGAAAGTTAGCGCAAACAATCTCAATCAAAAGTTCGATTTTCGGTTCCGAAGGACTACACACTCTCTACACTGTTGATCAGTGGGAAGGGCGCTGCAGACGGCAGTAATATCAAACGTTGACATATCGGACGACCATAGATCAACAAATGGATAGGTTGCAGACTCATTGTCCAAACCGAGCTTGGGTAGTATTCCTCCTTCCAAAAGTGCTTGCAGTTGATCAGACCCGGACTGATTGTTCAGAATATAAGCCAGAACAGAACGCGATCCCAGATGGACAGTGCCTTTGCCAAGAGTATTTGCAGCATGGATGCCCTCGCGTTCCGGTGAGGCACACTTGGAACGGGAACTCGCATCGGCACTCTGCACGCTTCCGGTGTCCATGGAGGTCGGGACGCCGTCTTCCGCCCTCTCCAGCCCAACTCGAAGTGAGGAAATCGTAGACTCCATTTCTTGCAATCTATTGCGCACATTATCCCATTCCTCACGGGCGATTGAAACACGACCACCACCTGTAGCAGGGACGCTCGGTCGGTTCAGAGTTGGCTCTTGTTTCACTTCTGCCGGGGTTTCGTCATACGCATATGTTGTTGAATATTCAGGCACGGGTGCCGTTGACGCACTAGGGGCAGCGCTCTCATTGAAGGCTTGCGATCGTTTCTTGGAGGGGCGTTCGTAGGAGCAAAGGTCTGCATGGTCGCGCTTAACACACCCGTCACACGGCAGATTGCGATCGCATTTAACCTTGCGCGCATGGCATGGATAGCAGGCTTTGGGCTCACGAGCCTTGCGCTTCGTGCGGATTATCGCGTCCACCTGAGCCTGCGGCAAATCGGAGACTGCTCTGTTGGGCGCTCCAGCCATGTCGGAGGCAACGGAGGGCGAGAATGAAGTTGACATTGGGTAAGGCGACGTCATTCTGGCCCAAGAAAAAATTTCTGGTACAATATATCCTTAGTCGGTCTTGAAGTTGTCGTGTATCGGCCTATACAGTGGTGTTTCGTTCGGTCATTGGCAGCATGGAGGTAGAGGATCGGAAGCGGTTTTGGACTTGGACAGAGATTTCAACCCATTAGCGACAGATACAGTTCTATAAATTCATTAGTTAAAACAGAGCACCATGTTAGGCAATGGAGGCTCGATTTGAAATTGCGCGTGATTTCTTCAATGAAAGCTGGGATTAAGCGCCGGGGCAATGCCACAACAGCACGTGATGTGGGGCGTCCAAATGCGGAATCAAGCCCCTACGACAGCATTGTATACATTGAAAAGGCGTAGTATAATTTGTAAAAGGCATGAGTATTGAGTAGTTCATTGTATATCACATGTAAAAGCTTGCTAGGAAGAAGAATTGCTTTTAATAACTATGAAGTCTGTGTTTGAACTACATACCTGATACATGAGGCTTCTCGTTCCAACATATATAACTATACCACAAACATTCAAATATTGTCCACTTATCGTCCATACGTAATATCGTGAATGGCATGAACATGAGTCTCTGAGATTTTGTTGTCTGTGTCAATTGTGACCTTAAAATGGAAGCTTATCAATCATCGTGGAGCCTAGAGTAAGTAATAGTTATCTCGAAATACTATCTAAATTAGTAGTATAGACCGTATCCGGGGCATAGTACGCTTCACCAACGTACTGATCTTGGAGTCATGTTAGCTAAATCTTCTACTACATCGATTGTTGTTAATTTGTGCTAGTCACGGCTGTGACTCAATCTATAAAACGTGTAATGTATATTTTTTTGTACGGAGTGACACGTAGTATGGGGTGTTTTCAGCAGATTTCTAGGTCTGTTAGGGACTATCACTTAAGGAGAACCCCGTAGGTCTCAACTATTTCGAACGCTTATTCCCCGATGCATTATTGCTCTGTTAGGGTGCTCTGGAATGCTTGGCTAATCGTGCCATGCACCCAACACCTTTATTGCGATGACGATGTTTCAAACCAAAACGGCAGATGCCTTAGTTTTGACGTTTTTTTACAGACTCGAGCTACGGCTCTATTTCATCAAATCGCACGGAAAATCGGAATTGATATTGGGGGATACCCGGAGAGATCATGATGTTAAAAGCAGATTATTCCGAGGTTTAAGGAAGTAAATAAGACGCCATTCTAATTCTCGTAGCTGGTTGAAACCCAAAACAAATGGGTAATTCAAAGGTATGGAGGATTTTGAGATACAATGATCCTTTGTTCCACTACCATGGTGCCACCCTGGGCATCTTTCGATGTAAGAAAGCTGGAGGATCTGCATTGGCTCCAGGCTGTCCACGAGGCATCATAGAGGCCCGCCCGCCTGGATCCAGGGGGATTGTCACAGGAGTCACCGATGGAAGTCTTCGAGAATGACCTGTATCCGGTATAGCCTCGACGATTTCAGCATGAGTATTCGCAACCCACAATAAGTCATTGTCGCGCGGAGCTGACCCTGTGTATAGCATTTGACGTAGCCAGGGGCCATCCAATCTGTGATCTGATTGACTACACCAACCTCGATATACCTGACATTGGACTCTGACCCATTTCGTCATCCGCCTTCTATGAGTATCCAGTATGGTAACCTCAAGTTCAACCACTGGGCGAACCATCGTGCTACCATCGGCTATAGTTGATGCGTGTAGCCCCATGACTGTGGGTTCCTCTGTCGATCTTCCCATAATATTTTGAAGATCACCCTCATATAATGACATCATGCATGCCCCAGTGTCGTATAGGAATTCAAGCTCTGCGTACCAGCCCAAACTAGGGACGCGAATGGCAACCAAATACTAAGAACAAAATCAGAATTGGTCAAAAAGGGATATTTGGAGGACATACAGTGCGAGCAAAGAATCCTTGGGGCGGGGGGAATCCATATAAACCAACGGCGACTAATGAGTGTGAAGGTCCGGGCCCAACCAGCTATTTGCGAACGTTTTATATCATTATGGCTGTCTATAAAACGGAATTCAAGGGCAACTCACTCCTTCCATCCAAAATCCACGTTTACCAGAGTGATGGGCATTGAGCACCTCGAATTCGTCCCAACTGAACGGCCTTGGTTCACACAATTGCACACCTTCAAACCAATAGGTGACCAATCCTATGTTCCAATGAAGCAATCCTCCGCGGTAGGCCTGCAGTAATGCTAGGACATTAGGGAGCTGATTGAAGTTGTCCGAGCTCTGTAGCTGAAATTCAATGTTTCTCAAGACTTCCAAGCGCCTGAGGACACCCAAGCTATGGTTCCCAGGTTCCGATTCGACCAATGCACTGTGGGACATTCGATCAGCAACTTCTCTGTTATGACCATAAGTTTAGCTTACATTCGCTCGGCTTGAGCAATTTTCAGTCCTTTTAGCCGGTGTGAAAATATGTGCGGCATGATATTCTCTTTGATTCTCAGGTGGCATCTTTCAATTTGTGCGTCGACATCACTGCGCCATATCCATTAGTATGGAGTCAAAGCAGACAAACACAGATACACCGGCGTTGTCAACATACTCTCGGTCAAGATCCGGTTCAGCCATGCTCCAGCCAGGAGGCAATTTCTCAGGATCTATCAAGGGATTGGATTGTCGTGGCCATGGCTTCCGTTTCGCCCGTGCTGGTGCGGCGGGCGAAGTGTATCGATCGACGTATGATGTAGCAAGATCCGGCAGCAATGTGTCAATTGTAAAATTTTCATCTCTTGGGATGTCGCAGATCAGATCATTCGCAGACGGCACATACTCGGCCTCTACTTGGCTGGTCTGTGCGATTCGGCGTTTCTTTGAATTTACTGTGTCGTCGGATTTCTTTCGGCGTTTTCTTCCCTGCGATCCAGACCCCTGCGACATGAGTTCCGTCGGTGATTTTGACTGTGATTTTGCCTTCCTAGCGGGCATAATCCTGGTGGGCGCTTCTGCAACTACATGTCCCCTTCCCTTTGTGCTAGTCTCTGTCGTAGTGGTAGACCCCATATTGAATTTGAAGAGCTTGATGATTGTGGGCAATATTTGGCAATGATATGAAAAATAATGATTTAGAAATAGCGAAGATTGAGCGAACAGTGTGCTTTTCTTATAGCTCAATTGGAATACCATGAACATCTAGGAATAAAGAAAGAGTTTCGCGAGTCTTCGGCCGAGGGCTATACGAAGAAACATGCATACAGTGGCATTAAAAGAGCGATTTCTTTCATTTCCGGGTTTGCGTTTAAGGGATTTGGCCAGTTAGGGCATATGAAAGAAAATATTCGGAGTTCGAGCTAGCCGAAAAGAATTTGGCTCTCGCAACAAAGGAATATGATCCTTGCTTCAACAGACTTAAGGCTCTGGTTCTTCGCTTTGAATCTCAGGGAAGCCCTCGAGAAACATTCTGACAAGGAAATGAGGCTTGCTTGAGCGATCCGATCCTTTTGATACCATTTTTTTCTTTCGCTTGGCATAGAGTTTATAAGCCGAAGCCTTCCTTTGTCTTTGGTCAATATCCATCTGTTGCTTTTGCGGGTGTAAGTTGTGATCATTTTGCCTCGAACTGCAAGAAGTCGTATGTGGTCATTTAGTCTATGATCCTGCCCCACCAGGTTAACGGGCGAGTTGTTGGGGCTCAAGGTCAATGAAAGATTTTCATACTCATGAGTAGAAAATGCACGATTAAGTCAAACTCGACAGTTGATGTCCTTGCAATCAGTTTCAGAATCGAATAAAATAGGTCGATGCCGTATCGTAAAAATAGGGGGTCCAATCAATGGTGTTCAACTCTCTGTATTTCTGTATCAGTAGCAAGCCTCGATTACAACTTAAAATTACAAGACATGTAGGATTAATAAATCCTCCGGTATGCCGATGTCCTTAGTTACCCGTCAATAACTGGCCTGAAGCCTTAGGCGGGACGGAATATTCTCAACCCCGGCTGACCAATTGAGAGTGACGTACCGGGCAAGCTGCCAGTGTTTAGATCTGTCATCCAACGCAGCTTCTTTGACACTCACATTGTTTTGCCTCCCTGTACCCAAGAAAAGCCTCCGCTATCAGACCTGCCTTCAATCTCTCTCTCGTTCTCTTCTCGCTTCGATCAGCGAAACCCGCCAACCAAGCTCGAACATGGAGGGTAACCCCGCGGAGCACGACGAGGCTGTGTCTCAATTCTGTGCTATGACTGGAACTCAGGCTTCAGAGGTAAGCTTCTCGCTTGACTTATACATGTTACGGTGGCTAAATCCGAGTGCGTGCTTGTCTAGGCTCAAGAATATCTTGCTGCTAATGAATGGGACATCGAAGCTGCTGTCACAGAGTTCTTTGCGGAGCAGGACGAAGCCTTGCAGGATACCACTACTGGTGGGGAGCGACAACTAGGCACAGAGGGTAGTTCTGGAGCTGCTTCGGGGGGCAGAACTCTCGGGGGAAGTGCCGTACCAGCTTCATCCTCCGCCGCAGCTGAGTCCTCATCGTCCGCCCGAAGAGCTGCGCCCAAGAAGAAGTTTGCGACATTGGGAGACTTTGCTTCTGGAGGAGGGGGCGGCGCTGGTGATTCGTCCGATGGCGATGACACCGACGAGCATGATTTCTTTGCAGGTGGTGAGAAGTCCGGACTTGCTGTGCAGAACCCCGACGATTTGAAAAAGAAGATCCTCGAAAAGGCCCGCAGGTACGGTATATAGAGATTACTGGGAATACTGAACCTAACTAACATTCAAACGTCAACAGGGCGCAGCCTCCTCCTTCCGACGCTCCTGAGCCAAGGGAATCACATTTCACCGGCACTGCCCGCACACTCGGTGGTGACGATGTACCAAGCCAGTTGATTGAAAACCCGTCGGCGCCAACTCAACAGCGTGCCCAGCGTGTTCAACGTACTCTTCATTTCTGGGCTGATGGATTTTCCGTGGATGACGGTGAACTTTTTCGATCAGACGACCCCCGAAATGCAGAGATCCTGGACGGTATCCGCCAGGGCCGCGCTCCTCTTTCCATCATGAATGTTCAACCTGGGCAGGAGGTCGATGTGGAACTCAAGCAGCATGAGGAGAAGTACACCAAGCCCAAGCCCAAGTACAAGCCTTTCTCGGGTTCTGGACAGCGCCTCGGTAGCCCGACGCCCAGCGTACGGAGCCAGGCCCCCACACCTTCGTCCTCCGCGGCTGCACCATCTGCGCAGGAGCCAGCGAAGCCCAACGTGGACGAGTCGCAACCTACGGTTACCCTACAAATCCGCCTCGGAGATGGTACGCGGTTAACGTCTCGGTTTAACACCACCGCCACCATAGGCGATGTTTATGCATTCGTTGCCGCTGCTACCCCGGACGGTGCAAACCGCGCCTGGGTCTTGATGACGACTTTCCCCAGCACGGAGCTCAAGGACTGGGACGTCGTTCTCGGCGATATGCCCGACTTCAAACGCGGAGGTGTCGTTGTCCAGAAGTGGCAGTAAACTGCACTACTAATATTCTTTCTCGTCTTGAGAGTTTCCTCGGAGTGGTTCCAAAAGCGAATACCAGCAGGGCAGTAGGTTTGTATGGGCGAACGTTACATGACATATCTGATACCGAAGGAGGACCTTCATGTTTGCTACGTAGAGCAATGGCATTTGCCCAACAAGCTCCAAATTCAAAATAAGTGGCCAATCAGACCTTTTCTATTCCAGGGTTGTCGTAGACCGAAGGTTAGTCAGAAGGCGATTGATAAGCGCCCGAATATCGGCCTCCCCACTCTTTGAAATCCGTCATTGCGCTTTCAGTTGCTGCAACCTTTCTTTCTTCCAAATTAAGCATACACTATACAATATGCCTCTCACTGGAGTGAAGAATATTGTGCTGGTACGTGCGCCTTCAATCCCTTACAAGTCCTCGGCGCAAAAAAAAAAAGAAAGCTATGCCCCTCATAGCTTATCGATAACGAGCGCACTATTAGAAGCCATGAGCTAGAACATTCAGGCGCAATTTCTTGGGCAAGACTAATTGTATACTCTTGAATACTAGGTCCTTTCAGGCAAAGGAGGTGTGGGCAAATCCTCTGTCACACTCCAACTCGCCCTTGCGCTCTCGCTCCAAGGCAAATCGGTCGGAATCCTCGACATCGACCTGACAGGACCCTCAATGCCACGCCTAGTCGGACTCGAAGATGCAAAGATCACACAAGCGCCAGGCGGATGGATGCCAGTACCAGTTCACGGGGCTGAATCCGCAGCTGAAGCCGACGCCTCAGCGCCCTCAACACAACCCCAACGCGGTTCCCTCCGCTGCATGTCCCTTGGCTTCCTCCTCCGCGATCGCGGCGACGCAGTCATCTGGCGCGGACCAAAGAAGACGGCTATGATCCGGCAATTCCTCTCAGATGTCTTCTGGGGCCCGACTGATTACCTGCTCATCGACACGCCTCCAGGAACAAGTGACGAGCACATTGCGCTGGCTGAGCAGCTGCTCACGCTCTCTACCACAGACACAGTGGCGGCTGCGCAAGTAGGCTTGCCTCGACTTGCTGGTGCGGTCCTTGTTACGACGCCGCAGGCTGTGGCGACATCGGACGTGCGCAAAGAGGCGAACTTCTGCGTTAAGACTAATATTCCTGTGCTTGGGGTTATCGAGAATATGTCCGGGTATGCTTGCCCCTGCTGTGGCGAGGTTAGCAATTTGTTCTCCAGTGGTGGAGGACAGGTGATGGCCCAGGAATTAAGCCTTCCATTTATGGGCAGCGTGCCCATTGATGTGAAATTCGGAGAATTAGTTGAAGGAAAGATGGAGGCTGGTGATAGTGACGAGGAAGACGATGAGGAGGACAGCCCAAAGAGTCAACCACAAGATACTCCCGCGGAACCTGATGATCGACCACTCGTTGAACGATACCGGGATACCTGGTCATACCCTCGATTTGAGGGATTTGCGCAGACCCTTATAAGCAGCATTGAGGGCCCGACTGCCGTATAGCGACGTTCATGGTGAAAAAGTGGTATGTTTGATTGCTAGTTTTATAGCGATATCCATCTTTCCTGCTGTTATTTGCTTCTTTTATTTGCATTGCGTCATAGAAGGTGCCCGGCAATTTTTGAATATCAAATCATATAACTGATGAATAAGTCTACACCTTGGACCCGAGCTTGTGTTACTTTTTTCATCGGGAACTAATCCTCTTGGAAGAGATGCGATACTCCCTTCCCCCAACAGCCGAGTCCCAAATTGCCAAGCTTGTTACACCACTTTCTCTCGAGAAGCGAGGTCGCCGGCTTACTCACGTGCGACTCTTCCCGAGGTAGGTGATGGCCCACAGAGCCAAGGCGAGAATGACTTTTAAGTAGTCAAAGGTAGAATGTAGAGCGGCCTATCCAGGTATCTGGACACCCAACCGTCACCTCCAATGTGGTATTCTAGCATGTGGTTCTCTGTTTCCTTTTGGGCTATTCTAGATCCTAATTCACAGTGCCAATATCTTGTAAAGAAAAGTCTTCAGGGAGAGCACACGACTAGGCATTTTCAACCAGTAGTGACATGGTGCCAAGAGTAGGCTGTGCGTCCGCCGAGAAAACCAGACTTCCGAGTTTCTGGGCGCGCACATCGAACCCACGTCAAGCTCTATTAAACGTTCAATCGTATCTCAGCACCCAGGAACGTGCAAATATATCCAATATGACTGGCCTAGGTGATCCATAGAGAGTATATCATCGCTGGAAGACGTGCTTTATCCGCCCTTGGCGTCCGCTCCCAAGACTTGGCGCCAACTCCCGCCTCTATTCGATCGTCGGACAAAGTCGCCTTCGGCTCAACCAATGACCGCTTAATTGCAGGTGCACGCTGTCAATGAGTTCTGTATTATGGGCTAGGACTGAAATCATAATCGAACTCAATATGGATCAGGCCAAGTTCCGCACAAGGTTTTATCATTGGCCGCACTTGGCAATGGTCGTGGCGAGTTCACAGCTCGTATAAGTGCACCATAAATCCTGGACATTGATAAACTCTTTGAATCAGTTCGTTTTCCCGAGCTCA